GAGAGAGAGAGAGAAAGAGAGAAAGAATGAAAAAGCGTAGTGTGTGTGTGTGTGTGTGTGTGTGTGTGTGTGTGTGTGTGTGTGTGTGTGTGTGTGTGTGTTTGCTTGTGCGTGCGTGTGTGTTTGCTTGCGCGCGCGTGTGTGTTTGTTCGTGTCTGTGTGCGCGCGTGTTTATTCGTGTTTGCGTGTGCGTTTGTTTGTTAGTGTTTGTTGTGTGCGCGTACGCGTATATATAATTAATTTTCTTAAAAGCGCATCTTCGGTTATTATATAATGAAAGTTAATTGAGAAAACAGCTGCCATGTTACGAAATTTCCCGTGAACATAAATCTTTCAAGGATGCTTTCAAGGAAGTTTCCTTGTTTACACAATATATTTTGTTTATTACTATGCGTTTCCACGCACTCGCTTCTCTAACTCTCACCCAATCCATAACACGGTTTTACATCAGCCACGCCAAACTGCTTCAGTAGTCTAATGTAATGTAGCGCACGTCGTATGTTGTCGCGTCACTAACGACAGACACGGCTAGCGATTTCGGCGTGAGGAGAGCATCGCGTATGACGTCATCCGTATGTAAATGATCACGTGTACTGGTCCACGAACGAAGCGGCAGAGAGTCTTGGGGAATCTTCTTTGAGAATCCGTGGAAGCTTTGTACGACGTGGGTTTCAGGGTTTGAGCTCGTGAATCTACAAACAACGCCATTTTGTATATTGCGTGTACAGACGATTCTCGGCTTAATTACAAGGGAAAACGTTTGCCTGCTGTTAGATAATTCACTGTGCGTTACGAGACTCCACACGTAACGCTACTTGTTGAGTATTCCGATCCTGTTTTTACCTGATCTCCGGCATGGTGGCAAAAATTACGATTCAAATCTTCAGTAAACGCTGCAGATACAATTGTCACTAACTCAGATTGTTTTCTCAGATAGCACGGGATATATATGATAGCTGGGGAGAGATAGATATACATCTAGGCAATATACCTTGTGTTCGTTCGGTAGAGAGATATGAAAATTACCCTCTACGTAGAAGATATAGGAGAACGCGCATGCGCACACAACCGCCACTGGGCAGCAAATGTCACATGGAATGTTTGTCTGCTTACTTATGTCTGGTCTGTATGATGATTACAGTACTTTATACTTAAGAAATACTTAATTTCATCTTTTAATAAGCAACATGCTTATATATTTGTCTTGGAGTAAAGTCCATAGGTATTTATATAATTAAAAATTATATAAAATAAATAAATGATAATGAATAGATTAATAATTTAACTTATTAATGAAATAAAACTAATGAAATACTACTAACTCTATTTCCCACGTTCGGCTGTGCGATTTCAGTGTTTGGTGTTGGAGGAATGATCTACAGTACATTGCACGTTGTTGTCTACCTAAGTGCTGGCCTCGACACTAGGTGTCGCCACGTGATCGGCGTCGTCTCGGCTGTCATGCACATCATTTTCACGTTCACTCAGCTCTACTTTATGTTCAGTAGCTCAAAGGTGCGTTTCTCTCATAGAAATCATATAGGTAGACTTTGGTCTCTATATTAATCTATTTCTATGGTTTCTCCCTGTTACAATTTCGCAGTCGGCTGTTTACGGCGTATGCGCTTGACTACGTCACAGGCGCCTGCTTACGTCACGAACGCCAATATATATATAACAGGCGCATGTATAGATACCATATAACACGATGATATGTTATATTATGTTATCTATAGGCGCACAGACGTCGTACGGGCTCCTGTGTGACCGACACAACGTACTACGTATTAAACGAACCATCGCTCGGAACAAGCACGATGCAGTTATATGAGTTATCCTTAATTTAGATTCAGCATCGCATCGTATTTCACACGAACAATCTTGTGTCCAACACTCCTCTCTTCCACAAGAACCGCGTTCCGTACACGTAGTAAATGTACATTATATATAATATCTTGCAATTTAGATTTAGATGTCGTATGCATCGTAACGCTATATAGTAATGTATATTATTTAATTATGTAACTGTGTAATATGTAATATGTAAAATGTAATTATTTTATTATGTAATTAGTAGTATACGTAATACAACGCTATATAGTAATGCTAAACACGAGCCTAACCAGTAAACGTCTACAGGCGAGATGTAACGCCGCCATGTGATTGGTTGATTTCTCTCGCAGATGTGCATACACAAGTATAAGACGGTGGCGCGATTCGGACTGATGCACGGGCTAGCGGCAAACATGTGCGTCCGGATAAAATACCTCGTCAAAGAAACGGTCGACGAGCTTGCGGAGATGCATAATGAAAACGCTGTTCGTGCCGAAGAAGAGTCGCCTGACGTCGGTAGGTAACATCGCGCGTAAATGCTTGGTCCGCGACCATATATATGACAATGTGCGGTATAGTTGCAGCAAAAAATAGGCGGGTATAGTAATAGCAATAGTAATTGTAATGGTAATAGTAATAGTAATAGTAATAGTAATAGTAATAGTAATGGTAATAGTAATATTAATAGTAATAGTAATAGTAATAGTAATGGTAATATTAATAGTAATAGTAATGGTAATATTTATAGTAATAGTAATAGTAATACTAATGGTAATGGTAATATTAATGGTAATTGTAATAGTAATAGTAATAGTAATGGTAATATTAATAGTAATAGTAATAGTAATAGTAATGGTAATATTTATAGTAATAGTAATGGTAATATTAATGGTAATGGTAATGGTAATAGTAATAGTAATAGTAATAGTAATGGTAATATTAATGGTAATGGTAATGGTAATGGTAATGGTAATAGTAATAGTAATAGTAATAGTAATAGTAATAGTAATAGTAATAGTAATAGTAATAGTAATAGTAATAGTAATAGTAATAGTAATGGTAATATTAATAGTAATATTAATAGCAATTGTAATAGTAATAGTAATCGTAATATAATAGTAATGGTAATGGTAATGGCAATGGTAATGGTAATACAGTTACTCCTCGATTATCCAAACGAGACGGGCGGAGAGTATTTTGTTCGGATAACTGATTGTCCAGATAACTGATTGTTCGCATAACTGATTGTTCGCATAACTGATTGTTCGAATAACTAATTGTTTGGATAACTGATTGTTCGCATAACTAATTGTTTGGATAACTGATTGTTCGTATAACTGATTGTCCCAATAACTGATTGTTCGCATAACTAATTGTTCACATAACTGATTGTTCGCATAACTGATTGTTCGGATAACCGATTGTTCAGATAACTGATTGTTCGGATAACTGATTGTTCGCATAACTAATTGTTCACATAACTAATTGTTCGCATAACTGATTGTTCGCATAACTAATTGTTCAGGTAACTGATTGTTCAGATAACATATTGTTCACATAACTGATTGTTCACATAACTGATTGTTTACATAACTGATTGTTCGCATAACTAATTGTTCACATAACTGATTGTTCGCATAACTGATTGTTCACATAACTAATTGTTCGCATAACTGATTGTTCGCATAACTAATTGTTCGGATAACTGATTGTTCAGATAACATATTGTTCACATAACTGATTGTTCGCATAACTAATTGTTCACATAACTGATTGTTCGCATAACTGATTGTTCACATAACTAATTGTTCGCATAACTGATTGTTCGCATAACTAATTGTTCGGATAACTGATTGTTCACATAACTGATTGTTCACATAACGGATTGTTCACATAACTGATTGTTCACATAACTAATTGTTCACATAACTGATTGTTGGGATAATGAATGTTGGGGTAACCGAGGGTTGATTGTAGAAATAGTGATAGTAATATAGCAATAGTAATATTAATAGCAATAGCAATAGTAATATTAATAGAAACAATAACGGTGATAGCAATACTGACAGTACTTTAGCCTAAACAAATTCCTGGAAGTGGCGGCGGCAGGTTCGTGGCTATAAATAATGACAAGCGAGATTCCAACTCCCAATTAATGTAAAAGCGTGATAGTGGGGGACGAGACCTTTTTAGATGATTATATGACGATTTACGCTCATTGTAGGGTTATTGACATTTAGCAGGATTGTATCGTTCTTAAACAAATTAGGAGACAGTCGGCCCCTCCTCCCCCAGAGTTCACAGAGCTGACAGAGAAGGGAAACGATTAGTGTTTCTTCTGTTCAAACAATGGCGTGCCCATATATGGAATTATAATCAAAAGCGACAGTGACGTCATGCGCTTCTATAATGATGCCGTCCATTTGCGTAACGATATCATTCACATCGTCAGTGATGTCATACGCCTCTCTAGTGACGTCATCCGCTTTTCTAACGACGTCATCCACTTTCCTAATAACGTCGTCATTTTCCGCAGAGTTGTCACCGTGGAAGACGTGTCATGTTGGCGTCAGTGCGCACCAGGGGGAGGCAACCCACGTGATGGCGATCGTCAAGGTGGCAGTTACGGCCGAGAAGTTTCTCTTCCCGTGTCTGATCGAGTACAGCCTTGTCGCCGCTGCCATCATGTTTGTGATGTGGCAGAACATCGGTCAAGGCGACCCCGCGATCCGCAGCGGTGGCGACGCTGACGCTGGCGCTGGCGGCCGCGCGCACTTCCGCGTCGACTGCAACGGCGCCATCTTGGGTCTCTTCTTCGGCATTCTCGTCTTCGCATGCTCGCTGACGGAGCTGATCTTGTTCTTTCATATCAACGAAGATTCTCCAGGTCAACAAGAGCTTGTTATATTCGAGTCGTTTCTCATTGGTCTTCATGTCATCGCCATCATCGTCACAGCTGTCGCCATCTACAGGTAAATTCTACAGCGATCGATATGAATTTTTTGGGGGGTTAAATTTACATGTTTATTTTAGAGATAATGCTAGAGAGATAGAGCGAGAGAGCCAGACAGACAGACACGCAGAGAGAGAAAGAAAGAGCGAGAGAGATAAGGAGAGAGAGGAGAGGAGAGAGAGAGCGAGATAGAGAGAGAGAGGAGAAGAGAAAGAAAGAGAGGGCGAGAGAGAGAGAAAGAGAGAGAGAGACAGAGAGAGGAGAGGGAGAGAGAGAGAAAGAGAGAAAGAGAGAGAGAGAGAGAAAGGAGAGGGAGAGGGAGAGGGAGAGGGGAACAGAGAGACCATTCCAACGTAAACTAACGGAGTGTGTGTTTAGTTTATACCGCTCAGCACCCCCGCGCGCACGCACACACACGCGCACACACACGCACGCACACACAGACGCACGCACACACACATGCACGAGCGTGCGCACACACACATCTGCACACGCGCGCGCCCACAAAACAACCACACACACACACACACACACACACCACCACACACACACACACACACACACACACATACAGACAGAGAGGGAGAGAGAGAGAGAAAGAGAAAGAGCGAAAGTAAGAGGGCGTGGTTAAAGACATACATGCACTCTGCTAACACGCATTGCGAACGTTCTCCCCGCAGGTTGCGATCGCTGCCCTTCAGAGAACACGTCGAGGAGGAACTAGACACGATGCTGCTCTTCATCGCACAGTTCGGGGTGTTCCTCTACGCGATATGTTCCATCATCGCTACGAACCTGACGCTGTCGAACGCCGCCGAGACGCTGCTACTTGTTTTCAATATAGCGCGTGTGCTGCAGACCTGTCTACAGACGATGCTTATCATTGATGGCACGCGGCGCTACTCTGCGCATGCGCACGGCGAGCGGCCGGGCAAGCAGCTAATTACGTTCCTGATCGCTGCGAATCTCTCGCTCTACATTCTCAACACGTTCGAAATGCTGAAGGTGACAGCCAACCCCGTGCAGCGGAATTTCTACGGAACTATGGCGTGTACCATATTGACGCATATCTGCACGCCTCTAGCGATCTTCTATCGTTTCCACTCGACAGTTTGTCTGGCGGAGATTTGGAAGAATGCGTACACGCCGAATAAACATTGATTGCATCTATTGAATTATTACTCTTACTAAGTTCTAACTCTATGCGCGCTCTGTATTAAAGGTGGATTATTGTTTATTACAGTCATAGATTAGATTGTTCTTTCTCTCAGACCCACTCAGATTTACCTCTCACATTGAACTTACCTCTCACATGTTTTCACGTTGATATACACTTATAAATATAAATAAATAAATAAAGAATAATGTATAATGATATCTATCTATCTATCTATCTATCTATTATCTTATTAAATTTTTTCTTAAAATCCTAATTTCTAATCCTATCTATCGATCTATCTATCTTCTAATGTACTATTTTATTATCGTTCTTCTACTCTGATCTATCTATTATCTATCTATCTATCTATTCTTCTATCTATCTTCTATCTATCATCTTAGTTATCTAGTATCTATTATCGGTATATATCTATCTATCTATTTATTATCTATCTATCTATCTATCTGATTGATCGTATCTATCTAGTTATTGAATAATTTTATGCTATCTATCTATGCTATCTATCTATCTATTATCAATTTATTATCTATCTATCTATATCATCTATCTATCTATATATCTATCTTTTATTACCTATCCTACCTATTATTTTCTTATTTTCTAATTTATTTATCTTCTAGTTATCTATCTATCTATCTATGCTGATTATCTATTCTCTCGATTTATGTTCTATCTATCACCTTTTTATCTATTATCTATTATTATTAATTATCTATCTCTCACTATGTCTCTATCTATCTATTTATCTTATACTATTTCTATCTATTATTATCTATTATCTATCGCTATCTATCTATCTATCTAAGGCTAGTTTATTATCTATTTATCTATCTATTGTCCTATCCTATTATTTATGTATCTATCTATTATTTCTATCTATCTGGCTAGTTAGCTAGCTATTCTTATATCTATCTTATCTATCTATTCGTCTATCTTCCTCATCAGCGCTATCATCATTCATCTCCATCCATCATCATCTCATCCATCATCTCTCATCATCGATCATCATCATCCAATCCATCATTCATCTATCCATCATCCTTCATCCTCATATCCATCATCATCCATCATTATCCATCCTCCCATCATCCCTCCATCCGTCATCCATTCCAGCGATCCATCATAATCTTCCATCCATCCATCTCCATCCACACATCCATCATCTATCATCATCCATCATCGATCCATCATCCATCGTATCCAATTATCCAATCCATGCATCAATCATCATCCATAATAATCCTTATCCATCAGAGTCGCATCATCCATCACTCCATTCCTCTCATCATAATCATCCATCATCCATCATCCAACATCCATCCATCCAATCTCCATCCATCCATCCATCTCATCCATCCATCATCCATCATCATCCATCATCCATTACTCATCCATCATAATCATCCTCCTATCATGCCATCCATCCATATACATAATTCATCCTCCATCCTCATAATCTCATCATCGATCATCATTCCATCATCATGCCATCCGTTCATCCACCTCCTCATATCCATTCCAGCTGCCATCATCCATTCCATCAATCATCCATCCATCTCATCCATCCATCCTCCATCCATATCCATCGATCAGTCGCCATCCTCCTCATCAAGGCTCCTCATCCATTCATCCATCTCCATCCATCCATCAATCAATCAATCAATCAGTCCTCATCATAACTCCATTCATCAATCCAATTGAAGCATCTCGTGAGCGTGTAATAGGCATCTAGTGTCAGCTGCGAAAGCTATCAGAATGAATACAACCCGCAAAAAACTCACACGGCAACTCTAATGCGCCGGCGAGGCACTGTGCGTGCTACGACGCAATGTCGTCGTTCATGACATCTCCGCTGCGCGCGCCGTGGTTCGGCTGTTCGTCGAGTTAATGCCCTGCGCCGGAAATAGGCACACTGGGATCCGCCCGCGGGAGTGGAAAATGATGTGCGATTTTCAACGGTGGCTGAGTCATCGGCGTCATCATTTTGCAGATTTGCGCTGGGCTCGCTCGATTAGAGCGAGGGTGGTCGCTTACAAAGCACGTCTTGCTGACGTTGGCCGAATGAGGCTGTACGGCTGATGCGACGTGCGACGCCAGTGGTAGCACAGCGGGTTAGGTTGTCGGCTGGGGTCGCGCTGGGTACGTATACGTATCGATTATTCAGTTTTAAACTATGCGTAACGATTACAAAAATGGAAGCGGAGATGATTAAAGACGATGAGGTAGGCGAGAGATGAGGGAGTGGAGCGCGGGAACGTGCGCGGCTTGTTGTGTGTGTACCCTCTGTGCCCGCCAGCCCCCCCTGATGTGGATCCTGCCATCGCGCTGTGTGTGGGATGAACCCCCGCAGCGCGCCCCGTGTCCCCCTGTTTGTGTCCCCCGGTGTGTGCGCGATGTGTGTGTATGCGTGTGGTTGTGGTGTGGACACGATCATCATGAACAACCACCAAACAGCCAGCGGCGAGCGCCCCGACGCGCCCCCTGGCGCACTCGGCGGCAGGAGGGCCGCATGTGTCGTATGCGCCAGCGGCGCTGGCAGCAGCAGCGGCCGGCTCTGCTGGTGTGTGTGCGTGCGGCGCGTGCTGTGGGTGGATTCTGTGCCTGTGTACGGGGGCGTGCGCGCGGACGCGCCCATGCGCGTGATGTGTATATGGCCCAGCCCCCTGGACCCAGCTAATAGTGATGCAGTGTGCATGAAGTCCGGGCCACACATGTGTATCGTGTGTGTGTCACTGACTGTGGTGTGTGTGTGATAGTGCGTTGTGAGGTGTGTGTGTGTTGTGTGTGTGAGAGAGTGAGAGGGACATAGACATCAAAAGAAAAAAGACAAGAGAGTAGAGCGTAAAGACTAGAAATGTCCGATGAGGGAAGGCGTAAAGAGACTGAATTCGGTTAGACAGCTCGGTAAAAGTTTGTTATTATTGCCGACTTAGTGTAATTAGCACATGTTAACACTAATTTGTAGAAATAAGTTAGCCATAATATATAAGCGATATAAGCGATATTAGCGATATAATAAGCCATATTAGCCATATAAGCCATAATAATTAGCCATAATCGTTAGCCATAATTAGCACATAGTTAGAGAATCCATCGCGTTAGAGTAGCAGTCGTAAATCGTGCCCCGGATTAGTAAGTTTTACGACTTTAACACGAAGCCGCTCAGCTCCTAGTTTCCCACGCACCGATTTACAGCCGCTATGTGATAGACCTTTCTTCTTCTGATATTTCTTTCTTCTCCTTCGACCTAGCTTCTTCTGTACTAGATTTCTTTCTCTGATATTTTCTTCTTCGTCTACGAACTAGCTTCTCTCATAATAGATTCCTTCATCTGATATTTTCTACTTTTTCTACGAACTAGCTTTGCCCGTAATGGATTTCATCTTCATATATATTTCCTTTTTTCTACGAATTTGCGTTTCCCGTACTAGATTTTTTCTTTCGATATATCTCCTTTTTCGCCTCCAAACTACCTTCTCTCATATTAGATTTCTTCCTCTCATATTTTCTTTTTCAGATATTTTTTTTTCTACGAATTACTTTCTCCTGTACTAGATTTCTTTCACCGATATTTCCTTTTTTTTCTCCGAACACACGCTTCCTCCCCGCCCCCCTCCCCCTCTGGCGCCTCCGCCGCCACCGTTCGTTTTAACCACCGCTATTTTTTTAATTCTGGGCGTCGATAAATGACGTATAACAAGCGGATGAATCGCCGCATCGCCGCTTAATTGCTCGAGCACGCAGACGGTAATAGGTTTTACGGCTTCGGAGGGAGAGCGCGGGAGAGCGAGGGAGAGCTGGGGGAAAGTGGGGGAGAGCTGGGGGGAGAGCTGGGGGGAGAGCGGGGGGAAGTCGTGGGGGGAGAGGCGGGGGGAGAGGCGTGGGGGGAGAGGCGTGGGGGAGAGGCGGGGGGAGAGGTAGGGGAGAGGCGGGGGGNGAGGGGCGAGCGGGGAGAGCGGGGGAGAGCAAGGAGAGCGCGGGAGAGGCGGGGAGAGGGGAGAGCAAGGAGAGCGGGGGAGAAGCTAAGAGGAGCGGGGAGAGCGGGGGCGAAGCGGGGGTGGAGAGCGGGGAGACAAGGAGAGGGGAGAGGCAAGGAGAGCGGGGGAGAGCGTTGGGAGAGCGGAGAGCGGGGAGAGCAGGAGAGCGGGGGGAGAGCGGGGAGAGCAAGGAGAGCGGGGAGAGCAAGGAGAGCGGGGGTAGAGCGTGGGTAGAGCGGGAGAGGCGGGTGGAGAGCGGGGAGGGCGGGAGAAGCGGGGGAGAGCGAATAGAGGCGGGGGAGAGCGGGGAGCTGGGAGAGCGGCGGAAGAGCGGGGGGGAAGGAATGGGGAAGAGCGCGGAGAGCGGGGGAGGTAGGAGAGAGCGGGGAGATGGGAGACCGCATGAGAGCAGGGGAGGTAGGGAGGGGGGATAGAGGGAGGAGGGGAGGCGGGAGAGCGGGGAGAGCGGGGAACGGGGAGAGCGGGTGGAGTGTCCTCCAGCAAGGCAAGAAGACGGAGACACAGAGAGACCACACAGAGAGAGAGAAGAGAGAGAGAGGAGAAGAGACAGAAGGAGGGGACATGGGGAGAGAGGGGAGTGGAGAGGGGAAGTGAAAGAGGAGACATATGGGGAGAGCGGGTAGGAGAGTGTTTACGGCCCCAAGCAAGCAGAATTAATGTCGTCTGAAATGTGGGTCTGGTCCACAAATGGCATTAGGTCGAGCGGGAGAAGACTTCGATTAAAAAAAAATACATTAGATTGCGGACGGCGGAGGGAGGGGCTGCTCTCTCTCTCTCTCTCTCTCTCTTTCTCTCTTTCTCTCTCTCTCTCTCTCTCTCTCTCTCTTTCTCTCTTTCTCTCTTTCTCTCCTTCTCTCTCTCTCTCTCTCTTTCTCTCTCTCTCTCTCGCTTGCGCGCTTTCTCTCTATCGCTCTTTCTCTTTCTTTGTATCGCTCGCTCCTCTGTGTGTGCGTGTGCGTGTGCGTGTGCGTGTGCGTGCGTGTGCTTGCGTGCGTGCGTAGGTGTGCGCGCGCGTGTGTGTATGTATGTTTGCGCGCGCGCGTGTGTGTATGTATGTGTGCGCGCGCGTGTGTGTTTGTATGTGCGCGTGTGTGTGTGCGCGCGTATATCTGTGTGTGTGTATATGTGTGGGCGCGCGCGTGTGTGTATGTGTGTGCGCGCGCGTGTGTGTATGTATGTGCGCGCGCGTGTGTGTGCGCGTATGCCTGTGTGTGTATGTATGTGTGCGCGCGTGTGTGCGTCGGCGCGTGCTTGTATGTGCGCGTGCGCGCGCGTGTGCGGGCGTGTGCTTGTATGTGCGTGTGTGCGCGCGTATGCGTCTGCGTGTGGGTGCGCGTGCGTGCACGCGCACACACACACACGCGCATGTGCCGACGTCCATCCCTCATCGCATGAAACAAATTGCGAAAAAAAGAGACGCGTGCGGAAAATATATATTTCTATAGTCGCCGAATTGATTTCGCTCCTCGTGCGGCAGATAAGAGAGAAAAACATAGAGAGAGAGAGAGAGAGGCGAGAGAGAGGAAGAGAGAGAGAGGAGAGGAGAGAGAGAGAGAGAGAGAGAGAGAGAGAGCGTTGCAGCATTGTGAGTTACGTGGACAATTATGCGTGGACCTGGGACGCGGGCAAAGCTGCTATCGCAGTCGTTACAACCCCAGCTGTATTATATAACTAATGATTGCGTCATCTACATGCTGTCATCCGTCATCCGCGATCGCTGGCTAATTGCTGCTGCTGCTGATTGATGATGATGATGAACTAATGAATTGATGATCGATGATGATGATGATGGCAATTCCAATGCAGCACGGCGCGGTGAATCCGCTACGCAACACCTCACCACACACACACACACACAAACCACACAACACAGCACACACACACAGCACACACACACATACACACACACACACACACACACACACTACACACACACACACACCCCTCTCCCCCCCCTCGTCCTCTCGCCGCTCTCCCTCTCTATCTCTGCTCTCTTCTCTGCTCTCTCTCTCCTTATTGTCCACATTCTAATTACAACGTGAAGACATTGATGAATAGCGGCTTACAGTGGCTAATGGCTTCAAGTTTCTTCACAGGCTGGGCAGGCTGAGAGCGCGAGCCGAGGCGTAGTGCTTTGCGCGCGTGCAAGTCTGTCAACCACTGATTTACCACCACTAATTACAGTAATGCGGTTACTAATGAATGAAAATATTCCGATAAGGAGCGAGTGACGGAAAAGTATATATTTCTATAGTCGCCGAATTGATTTCGCCCTCGTGCGGGCAGATAAGAGACAGAGAAAGATAGAGAGAGAGAGAGGCGTTGCAGCAGTGTCAGCTTAGTGGGCATTATTCTGGGATGGTTAATGAGTCAATGAGGACGATAACCTGCGTACTAATGAATGATAGCAAGCCCGAACGAGGAACGAGAGGTCGAGGAAGGAAGGAGGAACAGCAGACGGCGCTAATACGCGATGTAAGCGCGGGCCCTGTGATGGAAACTCGGGTATATATATTGATATATATAATATATCAAAAGTCGCATAATAGATAAATTTCTATTGTGGACGAATAGAAGAAGAAATAGAATAAAAGACGAAATAGAAGAATTTCTATTATGGACTCTTGATATATATATATATATATATAATATATATATATATATATATAAATATATATATATATATACCCCGAGTTTCTATCACAGGGCCCGCGTTACATCGTCACGGCCAGTCACGGCCTCAAAGTGCCACAGGTTCGATCGTGGATTTACACGCAGACGCGAGCCGGTACCGAAGACAACAATACCAAGTTGAGTGTTCGAACCTGGAACGCCGGTGCTTTTATTGGCCCGCCGATCAACAGGCCGGTGGCCATAAATACTACACAAACTTGGGCTGAATGCCCAGACAGAAACATAAACAGTAATCACACAGTAACAAGCAATACGACTCGAAGACTCAGCATGCCTGCGTGCAGAGGGCACCGGGCAGAGGGTCCAGGAGTGAAGAGCGTGATTGTTTATCTTACCACTCGCTGATCCTCGCGTTGTGTATCTCGGAGCACCTGGAGAGAAACACCAGTGCTCACGAGTGCCCACACCAGTGCCCACCTCTACTGCGAGAAACAGCAGCTTATATACTAATAGATGTCACGTGGTTATGCCACGTAATCATCAAACAAGATACAGGGATTCACACCGCGTGACGTAGTCACGTGGTTATGCCACGTAATCATCAAACAAGATACAGGGATTCACGTCGCGTGACGTAGGTGAAACCTTACATCCAAATCCCGTTGGGACGCGGGTCACGTGATCCCCCTTCCTTTTTCCGAGTCTTGCCGCCTCGGCAAGGCTCGTACGAGGGTTTACAACAAAAGCGGTCTGCCCAATAATATGCTAAAAAACCCGCGTGACTTCATACAATTCAAACACAAAAAGAACAATACTGAAAATGCATCGCAGTGAGGCCCGGACGGCTTGCAACAACAGGCGGTGACTCGCCCGTCGCGAACAACACCGTACGCAACCCCAGCCCGCGTGACAGAAACCTACAACAATGTCAATCATCTACGTCAAACTAGACGCCACTGGTAACAACAAAACACCATAGCACGGGGCAAACTAAAATTTACTTTTACATTATTTATTTTAATTCATTACATTCATTTATATCAATTGCACCGGCACAATACACGTGTAGGAGCAGCGCGAAATGACCCCATGACGCAGCATAGGTCAACCGTATTACATCTCCAAATAACTACTACACTATACACAAAATATATAAAGTTTATACACGTCCTCCGTGGCCGCCTCAGTAGACCGAAGAAGCCGTACCAAAAAGATTACGGGTTTAAACCCCGGCGGGGCCCTAACCACGTGAAACTCACTATGGAGACACAATGCTAGCGCATATATCCAATCTTCAAATAGTAGCAATTGCGCCTGTCGGCACGGGCGAATAGATAGCGGCTCCGGCCGTGGTCCTTGGGTTGTGAGCGCTGCGGCCAGTGTTCAACGCTGGGCCGGGGCGTGACCCAGAAATTTATATAAGAAAATAGCTGCAAAAATAAAGGCGCTAGTAGATGGAGGGCGCCACCTGCAGCCTGTCCGCTCACCATTAATCCACCATCATTAATACTCCAGTCAAATAAACCGCAGCATAAGAGACGCATGGATGCACATGAACACGGCTAAGGATTTGCCTACAGTGAACTCGCCGAATTACAGTATAACCAGTAGTGTATACATACATGCGGCAGCCAGTGTGAATAGACAGCCACCATCACCAACTACATCAGCAAGCTCCGGTATGTGAAAGTTTGTAATGTTTACATTTTTCCCTGCCAATGTGCCTTTACACTATGAATAGCGCTTCTGAATTATATACATTATTTAGATCACATAGTGCATATCATGCCGCTTTATACCGGAGCAACCGACATACTACAGACATGCATAATATATGAAAAGACAAAAGATACCATATTCGGTTTTTATTACCATGCCTATCTACTCAGATTCCGCACACGCTCTCTCCCGTATAGTAGCGCGTAGTGCGATTAGGTCGCGCGTATCGTCTAGCAGCCGAGCCTCCATCATGCTCTCCGCGACACGAAGCTCCGCAGCCGACATCTGCATCCTCAGCCCAAGGCGAGGCCGAGGCTGCTGCTTTATGAGACGCGGTGGCAACTTCCATGTGCGTATGTCCGCCTCGGCGGCAAAGCAGTCCCGGCTCGAGCGCCGGTTCCTCCTCGCCGCGGATCCCAGGGGTGAGACTCGTCGCTTCCTGCCACGCCCCTTCTTAGCAGAGCCCTCCGCTGCTGCCACGCGTGTCATCTTTGCTTCCTCCGAGAGTTCTATTTCCAGCCCGGTAGACACCGGTGAGCCTACCCATGGCTCTGTTTCCATGCATCGATCGTCTAGCTGCAGCACTGAATCGAGGAGATTTTCTGAGTCCGCCATACTTGGTCGCGGGTGAGCACCGGCCAAGCTTATACGGTAGCAACCAATTCCACGCTGGGGCATTTCTTTTAACGGGGCGACCATAGCTCCGGAGAAACACTCCCGCGAGCCTAGCCTGAACCCCCTTAAGAACATGCCTGCTCCGAGTACCTATGCATGGAGGTGCCACGTCGTCTCGGAGCGGGTGTTTCACGTTACCACCGTTCACTGTTGATGCAATGAATCACTACCACGCGCTAATTGCCACGTGGGAGGTTAGTGATCATTCTCACCCTTGCCACGAACAAACCAATACGCTGGCAATGGGGGTGTCCGAGTTTCAGACGTCTCTATCCAAGAGCGCTTACTCACACGGAAGGGGCGCCACTGCTTTTACCCAAACAGAGATAAGGTAGTACTTCGCCTGAATCCCCTTACGGAACAACCTTCGTACTTGTAGGACTGCGTCAGGCCAACCATTACTTGATATACCGGCGTCGTATACCGACGGAGAGGTGTGATCCTCACCCGTGCCTGTGCTCAATCGTTCTCACGTGCGGAAAGCATTACGTCGCAATAACCTTCTTACAGTGTCCCTAGGATTGACACACAAGGCTACCTGACCGACTCGTCCGTGGAGTGCAACTTGCGTGGATGAGAATTGCCTTACGTGCCTGCTCTCGGGGTTACTGTCCGTAACCAGCCGAGGCTAAGGAAAGGGTAACGCCCTTCCTTCTCCAGCAACCGACCAAACCATCCAACTACCCGTGACACCTAGTTATGCCTAGCGTGCGGTATGTTGCTCACAGACCGCATAACGTTAATAGTTATGGCGGGAACTATTCCCGGTCTGACGTGATGTTATGGCACAGACTGCACGGTTTTGCCAATAACCGTGGCGGGCAAGCTCTTGATGCCCGGCCTGACACCACGCCGCGTGCTCACTCAGGAAAACCGAAATGACGTGGACCACCCGCCATACGCTTCCCTGAATGCCTCTCATGGGGAACATAGATAAACCCATGCCTTCTCCGAGTCCTGCGGACTGGGTCCGAGACCTGCTCAAGGCTGGCACCACGCGAATCATGCAAAGAGGGAATAACCACCGTACTCTTCGCTGGTTCGACGCCTGCCAAGGCCGCATCGGCAGTTACTACAGGCAACCTGCCATTGTCATCAGGCTGCACAGGAAGTTCTGCTGCGAGATCTTCCAACCTTTCTTCTGTATTGGACATGTCTTTGTCCGCCCGCATATCGGATATTTCGGGGTTAATGCTCACCATACCCGAGTCGGGTTTGTCCCCAACACCATCTTCCCTTCCCTTGGTTACTGAGCGATCCACAGATGTAGCTTTATCCGGGACCAGGTCCGTGATGCACCAAACTGCGGGCGTGTTTCCTCCAAGGTAAGGTCATCGATCGAGACTACGCAGGGTTCGTCATTTTCCTGGATCCAGCGTAAGGTACTACACTCTCGGACTACAAGGAGAGGACCCTGCCACGGATTCCCAAGCTTTCCAGCTTCAGGAGGGTAATATCGCCAGACCCAGGTACTAGGCGGCAAATGCGCACACACGACAGTCTTGTCGTAGTTACGTTTCTGTCTTTCCGCTGCCCTTAGAAGTATCTCGCGGGCACGCCGAAGCGCGGCGCGGGTAGCCATTCTCACCCATTCAACGTATTCTACAGGACAATCAGGTGCATCCGGACCTGGGAGTCGGTCAGACATGAGTTCAAGCTAACCTCACGACCAAACATCATGAGGTTTGGACTTACCCCCGTACTCTCTTGGGCTGTACCTCTGTAGGCTGCCATTACATAAGGAAGATGTTGGTCCCAGTCATTCTTCTGCTCACACCCCACCTTTGCCAACATGTCCAACAAGGTTCTGTTGAAACGTTCAACCAGCCCGTCAGATTGTGGATGGTACGGGGTCGTCCGAGTCTTCTTGATACCCATGAGTGTACATACTCCGGCAAAGAGCTTGGACTCAAAATTACTACCCTGGTCGGAGTGGAGCTGACGTGAGCAGCCAAATCGAGTAAACAACTGCGAGACCAGGCAGTCGGCCGTAGTCTGAGCAGTTTGGGCAGGAAGTGCGTACGCCTCTGCCCATTTCGTGAAATAATCACAGGCCACGAGAATGTACCGATTTCCTGCCTCTGTCACTGGGAGGGGTCCGAGAAAATCGACCGCAATCCTCTCCCAAGGTGCGCCAACTGCTTGCTGCTGCAGCTTGGCCTGCTTACGTCACCCGGTTTTCCGTCGAGCGCACGTATCGCATTGCCGACACCAGCGTTGGACGTCTGTGCGAATACCCGGCCACGTAAATCGTTGCCGAATTCAAGACAACGTTTTTCGAATGCATAGGTGCGCCGCAATGCGACCACCGTGGAAAGCATTCAACAACTCTCGACGGATGATTGTGGGCGCCACCAACTGCAGTATGGAAGACTCCTGGGCGTATGTTGAAACCCACACCTAGAACAGCAATCCTCTCCGGAGTTCCAGGCGGTTTCAGACCTCCCAATATCGTCTGGCTTCTAGTGACGCAGCTGCAAGTTCTGAGAACGGAAGCCGAGCCTCACACTTCTGCAGAAGTTGCATCACCCGTCTCATTATAGGGTCTGCCCGCTGCCACTCCCGAACCTGCGCATCTGTCCACTGACAGAGCGTAGCTCGGAGCTCCACAGGACAAGGCACGCGAGCCTTTGGCTGTCGCCGAGTACGCACCGGACGCCCTGGAGCCGTCTTCTGTGCTTTCACGCGAGCCAGTATAACTCTGCGACAATCCGGGCAATCCTGCCGCTTGCACGTACGACATCCCGGCGGCCGGGATAAGCCGTCTGCGTTGCCATGCAGTTTACCAGGACGGTGTTCAATCCGCATGTCGAAAGTGCCTAAGTACGCAATCCACCGAGCCACCATGCCTTCCGGCTCCTTAAAGTTAAGGAGCCACGTCAGGGAGGCGTGATCTGTTCGGACCAAAAATGGCCGGCCAATCAGATAGTGACGGAAATGCTTGGCAAACGTTACGACAGCTAACAACTCACGATTCGTAGTGCAATACCGTCGCTGAGTTGGACCGAACGTCTTACTGGCATAGGCTATAACCTTCTCATCTCCATCTTGGACCTGAGACAGCACAGCGCCCATAGCTGATGCACTAGCATTGGTGTCCAGTATAAACTCGCCATTTCCCTGTGGATATGAAAGTACCGGAGCAGAGGTGAGTTGCCGTTTTAACGTATTGAAGGCCTCCTCACATTCCTCTGACCACCGAAAACCGACACCTTTCCGGGTAAGCTGCGTCAGTGGGTGCGCGGTAGTAGCAAAACCTGAGATAAATCGCCGATAATAATTCGCGAATCCCAGGAAGCTCCGCACGTCCGCAACAGATCGCGGCACCTCCCACTGTCCTACCACCTTGACCTTCTCTGGATCACACTGGACGCCACCGGCCGTCACAACGTGTCCGAGATACGAGGCACTTTTCCGGAATAGCAAGCACTTTGTCGGTTTGAGCTTTAAGCCAGCATTTGCCAATTGGTCAAACACATGGTGGAGGTTGGCTAACGCCTTCTGAAATGACTGACCGAAAATGATCACATTATCGAGGTAGACCAAACACTCCGTCCATTGCAATCCTCGAAGGACCAGCTCCATCAACCGCTCAAAGGTTGCTGGACTGTTGCATAATCCAAACGGCATGACCTTGAATTCAAACATGCCCTGACGGGTACTAAACGCCGTTTTGGAAGCATCCTTTGAGTCCATCTCGACCTGCCAATACCCGCTCGTCAGATCGATTGTGGAAAACCACTGGGCACCGGCCAGGGAATCCAATGTATCGTCGATCCTTGGAAGAGGGTACGCATCCTTGATGGTAACCTCATTCACACAGCGGTAGTCTACACAGAACCGGGTGCTGCCATCCTTCTTCGTGACTAGCACGAAAGGGGACGCCCACGGGCTATTACTCGGACGTATCATGTCATATCGAAGCATTTTCTCGACCTCCCTGTTCATCACCTCCTGTTTCGTCAATGCACAGCGTCTCGGGGCTTGCTTAATAGGGGGTGCGTACCCGTATTAATTGTATGCTGCACGAGACCAGTATGACCCAACCTCTCACCAGGAGCGGTGAACAAAGAGCCATACCGGCAGAGCATCTCTGCTACAGCCATTCTTGTTTGTGGGTCAGAGCTTTATCCACCCCGTCCAACAGAGGTTGAAGATGACCCGGGACCTCAGTCGGTTTGCTATTAACCTCAACTTCTGAGTTCTCTCGGATTTCTGCCAGCGCAACCTGCGTAACCGGTTCTAGCCACGCTAGCTCGGTACCAGCGTTGATGACCAGCTCGCATCTCTCGAGTTTTCACGACAGACAGAGAGGACGTCATGCCCGTGGTTCCACCCAGACATCGGGCCATGAGAGCTCCACTTCTTCCGTAACTCTTTTGAAATTTTGTAGTTGGCTCAGCCACTGCTAGCATGTCTTTGGGCCAGAGATCCTTGGCAAACTTACCCATTACCACAGTACCGTGGTTCGGAGCAAGTACCGTGCGGCATGCTGCATGCAGCACCCGCCTTTGCAACCCATTCTTCTCATGCAGCACGTGCAGGACATCGTCAATGGTCAGATGTCCTCTGGTTACATCAAGCTGACACCCTCGGTCACGCATGAAGTCCAGTCCGAGCAACCCTCCGCGAAGACTCGATTCCACAACAAGCAAGTTGTGGGTATACTGCCTGCCGTAAATGGCCATGTCCGTGCACAGTCCCCCCACCGCAGGGATATCATTTTCTTGAGCAGCTACCAACGTCGTCTCCACTTCCTGCAGGCCAGGCCTACACGGGGGTAACGAGAGGTAGGTTGCCCGATCCAGTAGCGAAATTTTCGCGCCAGTGTCCACAGTGAAGTCAATCACTTGGCCGCAGAGTTCCACCGGAAGCTGCCAGGCAGCCCGCGGCCGAAGTCGGAGCTCACAGCTCGTCACCTGGGCAGGCCGTAGCCCGGAACAACCGCGTACTGGATGCGGGGGTCCACATGGGCTGGCCACTACCCGTTTCCCGAGTCCTTATCCAAGAACCGGGTCCAACGGCGTGGCTGACCCCCGCGAGAGTACGACGGAGCCTCTGGCTCCAGTTCACCGGTACGGGTAGGGCAGTGGCGTGAGATATGCCCGTGTCTGCGACAACGGAACCACTGCACCGCTTGGCCATCTGCCCGTGAATTTAGCCAAACTTTTCCACTGGCCCTATGCGGTGCGCATTTAGCGTCCCCCGCCATCAGTGCCTGTATTAAGGTAGTAATTTGCTCCAAAGCCGCAGCTAGCAGCCGGGACTCCGAAGATTTTATTACTGCGCCCTCGGATGGGATTTGTACCTTCCCAGGCTGAAAGAGATCACCCCCGATCGGCGCCTGTGTGGTGGCCACCAGGCGAGCTTCTGGTTTACGAGGAACGGATCCCCGAGTTGACCTCGTAATGAACTCGTACTGATCAGCGGCCCGCGCTGCGCATTCCGCCGTACCATCATCTCTGTCCATTACGTAAATTTTCTGGGCTGCGTCTGTAATCGCACGGAGCACCAGCCAGCGTGCACGTCTGCTGCACTTTAATCGAAAGAGTCCGAGCTCAACCTTACCGACCAGCTGTTCTAACTCTCGTGCGAATTCAGTCCAGCTCTCTGTCGGCTGCTTTATCCGCTCATCGAGCCAGAGCCGTCGGTCGAGTTCGGAGCCAGGAGGCTGCAGCCTAGCCGTCAACGCCCAGCGAATCTCTTCCTCAAAGGACTTACCCGTACATTCGTACAAAACGGCAGACGCCGGGTAGTCCCGGGCACCAGCCAGATGCGCTGCTCGCTCCGCAGCAGTCCAGCCATTGTGACGTGCTACGACGTCAAAATGCCAGAAAAACGCGTCTAACGGCTCGGACTCTTGTCCAGAGAATGTGCGCAACCTCATCGGGGTTTGCGGCTTGGTATGACCAAGCAGACCTTCGCGGTCCCAGCTAAACATTTCCGGCCCCCTGCCGAAGACCGGGTTAACGGGTTGATACCCCCGTCGCCCCTCGTCAGGGCGATTCGCTGCTCCACCTGTTAGACTTGCCCACGGGGTAGACGTGCTGGGGCACGGTGGGGCGAGCGACTCAGCCTTCCACCGTCCACTCCCACTGACGTCCGGCCGTCTTGGGACAGCCTCGAATGGGGAGATACCATGTACCATCGCTGAGCGATGAGCATGGGACTCATGGCTCACGACCGGAAAACCCATAGTTTCAGGCTGGCTTCCCACATAATGGTCGGGCGATGCATCCATCAGCCCCAGACCCGCAGTTACTCCGCCATCCCAATTCCGATGAGCCCGATCTGCCGCCGAAACTTGAGGGGCCTTGGCACTTATCTCCTGTCAGGTAGAACTATCTACTGGCAAGCAGACGCCAAGGACATCATCCCTCGTTGGAAATGGGACACTGCGACGTGTATTTTTCAGTGCAGGACGTTTCGGTGCAGTGGCAGCGGACGTACGCTCAGCCACTGCAACACTAGGGGTCCTCACACCTCCTGCAACCACAGCCGGGTGCCGCCGCGTGGCACCAGCCGCACGCCTGCCTACTGGCCCGGACCTGGTAGCGAGTGGCATTTGCTTAGAGCACAAGCCAACACGACCCTGCCGGAAGTAAAGTTACTGCTGTCTAGAATCCACCAGCACATGGGCTGTCTTCCTGCTCGCTCTTTGTGTGAATCCTGGTCACGGCACCACTGTGACGTTTGAGCCAGTCACGGCCTCAAAGTGCCACAGGTACGATCGTAGATTCACACGCAGACTCGAGCAGGTACCGAAGACAACAGTACCAAGTTAAGTGTTCAAACCGGGAACGCCGGTGCTTTTATTGGCCTGCCGACCAACAGGCCGGTGGCCATAAATACTACACAAACTTGGGCTGAATGCCCAGAAACAGAAACAGTAATCACACAGTAACAAGCAATACGACTCGAAGACTCAGCATGCCAGCGTGCAGAAACGGTCAAGCCGTCAGTAAGCACCGGGCAGAGGGTGAGTCCAGGAGTGAAGAGCGTGATCGTTTATCTTACCACTCGCTGATCCTCGCGTTGTGTATCTCGCAGCACCTGGAGAGAAACACCAGTGCTCACACCAGTTCTCACACCAGTGCCCACACCAGTCCCCACCTCTACTGCGTCGTCGTCGTAGTAGTAGTAGTAGTAGTTGTAGTAGTAGTAGTTGTAGTAGTAGTAGTAGTAGTAGTAGTAGTAGTAGTAGTAGTAGTAGTAGTAGTAGTAGTTGTAGTAGTAGTAGTAGTAGTAGTAGTAGTAGTAGTAGTAGCAGTAGTAGTAGTAGTAGTAGTAGTAGCAGTAGTAGTAGTAGTAGTAGTAGTANCACACACACACACACACGCACATACACAAACACACATGCGCGCGCACGCACGCACACACACACACACACACACACACACACACACACACACACACACACACACACAAACGGCGCGAAAACCATATGTTCCGCTACACTACGTGCGTAGGATATAAACCATTACTACGAAGCGTTTGCCTACATTTACTACAGTCAAACCCCGTTAGTAGTAAACTGACGGGCCAAAGAAAAATAGTTGTATTAAGCGGGTTTCGTATTAACCACTTCAACGTATATTAGCCCGAATTAACAAAGAAAAAATTATTGATTGTGGATTACAAGGTGTGTACAAGGGATTTTATATAGGTTTATATGTATAATTAAGAACTTTAGTAGCGTTTAATTGTTCACAAATAGATACAATTACTGCAAAGCATAAACTCCTCATTTAATTACTACTATTCATTATTACAGTCGCACCCCGTTAGTACGAAAGTGACGGGCCAAAGAAAAATGATCGTATTAAGCAGGTTCTTATTATATTATATTAGCCTTAATTTAAAAAGAAAAACAATGGATTAGAAGGTGTGCACAAATTTTTTATATAGAAATGAATATACCGGGCCAGAAAATTTTATGTTAGTAACAGGATCCTTGTATTATTTTCTTCGTATCAAGTCAATATTTTACCAAAAGATTACTACGAATCGGGCCGGGATTTAGAGAAATCATCGTAGTCTCATCAGCGTAACGAGCGAATATGGCCGCCGGAGGCGGCCATTTCGCGAATAGATTGAATATATATATACATTATGTACTATGTACTAAGTGCGCCCGAGTGTGCGTGTTTACGTGTATATATGTGTACATGTGTGTGCGCACGCGTGTGTGCCTGCGCGTGTTTGTGGGCGTGCCTATGTATGTGTAAGTATATAATTATGTATTTACTAGTAAGTTTCAAGTGAGATATAACGCACATTTATAGTCGTTAGTCAAATAAACTCAGATAAGTAATTGAAGTTAGTTAGTGAACCATCTATTGTTGCTATGGCGACAGGAAACGCGGGCCCTGAAGCTGCGTTCACACGTATACACGGCCTAGCTGGTACCGTACTTAAGCTGCGCTCACACGTATACACGGCCTAGCTGGTACCGTACTTAGTTGGTGCTAAGTTCGGTTAAAACGCGTTCACACGAGTTACACAAGATTCGAGGCTTAGCTAGCCAGGAATAATATAGACTGGTACCCGGTCGACAGTTCCACACGCTACACTAACAGGATATTTCGGGGTTAATGCTCACCCTACCCGAGTCGGGTATGTCCCCAACACCATCTTCCCTTCCCTTGGTTACTGAGCGATCCACAGAGGTAGCTTTATCCGGGACCAGGTCCGGGATGCACCAAACTGCGGGCGTGTTTCCTCCAAAGTAAGGTTTCAGGTCATCGATCAAGACTACGCAGGGTTCGTCATTTTCCTGGATCCAGCGTAAGGTACTACACTCTCTGACTACCAGGAGAGGACCCTGCCACGGATTCCCAAGCTTTCCAGCTTCAGGAGGGCAATATCGCCAGACCCAGGTACCAAGCAGCAAATGCGCACACACGACGGCCTTGTCGTAGTTGCATTTCTGTCTTTCCGCCGCCCTTAGAAGTATCTCGCGGGCACGCCGATGCGCGGCGCGGGTAGCCATTCTCACCCATTCAACGTATTCTACAGAACAATCCGGTGCCTCCGGACCTGGGAGTCGGTCAAACATGAGTTCTACCGGCAAGCTAACCTCACGACCAAACATCATGAGGTTTGGACTTACCCCCGTACTCTCTTGGACTGTACCTCTGTAGGCTGCCATTACATAAGGAAGATGTTGGTCCCAGTCATTCTTCTGCTCACACCCCACCTTTGCCACCATGTCCAACAAGGTTCTGTTGAAACGTTCAACCAGTCCGTCGGATTGTGGATGGTACGGGGTCGTCCGAGTCTTCTCGATACCCAGGAGTGTACATACTCCGGCAAAGAGCTTGGACTCGAAATTACGACCCTGGTCGGAGTGGAGCTGACGTGGGCAGCCAAATCGAGCAAGCAACGGCGAGACCAGGCAGTCGGCCGTAGTCTGAGCAGTTTGGTCAGGAAGTGCGTACGCCTCTGCCCATTTCGTGAAATAATCACAGGCCACGAGAATGTACCGATTTCCTGCCTCTGTCACTGGGAGGGGTCCGAGAAAATCGACCGCAATCCTCTCCCAAGGTGCGCCAACTGCTTGCAGCTGCAGCTTGGCCTGCTTACTTCACCCGGTTTCCCGTTGAGCACACGTATCGCAATGCCGACACCAGCGTTGGACGTCTGTGCGAATACCCGGCCACGTAAATCGTTGCCGAATTCGAGACAACGTCTTTAGAATGCCTAGGTGCGCCGTAATGCGACCACCGTGGAGAGCATTCAACAACTCCCGACGGATGATTGGCGGCGCCACCAACTGCAGTATGGAAGACTCCTGGACGTATGTTGGAACCCACACCTGGAACAGCAATCCTCTCCGGAGTTCCAGGCGGTCCCACACCTCCCAATATCGTCTGGCTTCTAGTGACTCAGCTGCAAGTTCTGAGAACGGAGGCCGAGCCTCACACTTCTGCAGAAGTTGCATCACCCGTCTCATTGTAGGGTCTGCCC